GAACGGCTGAACCACCGACCTTCCGGACTGCAGTGCAGCATTTTAACCACTTGAGCCACCACAGTCCTTGTTTTGAGAAAAAGGGTATAAATGCTGCCAATCAATGCTCCCTCTAAGCCGTGGAGTCTTGTGAGCAAAACCTGTACTTTGTGAGCGACCGGCATTAGAGTTGCGAGCGAGGGGCTTGGCTGCTGCATAAATTAGTCTGCTCCAGGAGCCCTCCTTCCTGAGCGGCGACAACAATGTGTGAGCTGGAGGCTAAAAAAACCATGAGCTGGCTCACACTAACTTAGCTTAGAGGGAACACTGCTGCCAATGTATTTAAGACCTCTGTGAAATCTGTGTCTGGCCTGGAGGGCGGGAAAGAGGGGGGGTGGAAATCAGCGTCACCTTCGGCCCAGAGGTGACTTCAGAGCTTCAGGAGACTCAAGGGTTGTATAAATGAGTTTTCAGAGTGGCTCTTGGCATGCTAACTTCACAGCCAGGTTTTCAGCCAGACGCAACATCAACATGACACCACATCTGTCCCAAGCCCCTCCCCAAAGTTTCTGGGGGTGCCCGGCCACAGCCTGCCATCCCTTCCCCAGCATCCTTATTTCCGACAGTGGCCTGCCAGAGGCCCCTTGAAGCACAGGCAGAGAAGCAAAATTTTCCCAATACTTGTGGACCCTAGAAACTAGTTTTAAGAGCTCTGCTGCCCCAGAAGCTGGAGGCTCCCTTTATTCACCAGGCTGAATAGCTCTGCCAAAGTTGGCCTACCTTCCTCCCCCTGCCTAGCACCTTGAATTCCTTTTATGGACAAAAGGTGAGATACCAATATTTTAATAATTGGGAAGGATTACTTTCCAGAAGAAGAAGAGATTGGATTTATACCCCGCCCTTCACTACCCAAAGGAGTCTCAGAGCGGCTTACAAACTCCTTTCCCTTCCTCTCCCCTCCCCACAACAGGCACCCCCTGTGAGGGAGAGAGCTCTTGACAGAAACTGCTCTTTTTCAAGAACAGCTCTTATCAGAACTACTGCTTGCCCAAGGT